CTTCATTGGGAGCCTCTTTAAACCACATGTAATGCCAGATTTTTCTATGTTTTCTCGCATGGTAACTACATATCCATTGACTAACAATGATAGTTTAAGCCTAAAAGGTGAGCTAAAATGCCTGGAAAAAACTGGAAAAAAAAGACAACCAAAGATGCTCAGCTCAAGTGTGAATTAACTCCCACACCCCAGACATTCTGCTTTGTGTGGAACAACTGTGTAAATCCAAAGACTGGATGGACAGAAATACAGATCATTTGGAAGCTAAAATCGCTGTCATTCATGCATTTCATCTTTGTATATAGCTGTTGGCCTAGGACTCAGTTTTAAAATGAGGTTGGCATAGAGGGCTGTTTTACATGTGCAAAGTTGGTCTCTTGCCCAGTTATTCCATAGAAAATAAATGCCAGCCTGTCTTGTGGTGCTTCATTTTGCTTAGTGTTCATTCAGATCTCTGGTCCCCTTGCGGGCGGTTGCATAATCAACACAGTGGAGCTGATTTAATAAGTGTGAGTGCAAATTGTGGTGCAGCTCTGCTTAGAAACCAACCAGTTTTCAGGTTGTATTGCCAAAGCTTAACGGAACAGGCTGAAGTTAGAAGTTGATTGGCTGCCATTCACAGCTGCACTAGATTTTTGCACTCCAGTTTTAGTAAATCAACTCCATTGTGTTTCATGTTAACATGTGGCCTGTTTATTCAACTTGACTGTCAGCACACCACAACAGGTCTAAAATCACACGAGGACTTTTTTGTGCAGCACAGCACTCCTCAACATAGGGTAGTGTGTTACCTGCGCTCTAGCTCCCTTGTCACCTCTTCTCATGCTCTTGTCCAGTTTTTTTTTTTTTTTTTTTTTTTTGCTGAGCAAAGATCAAAAGTACAAGTAATGCACAGGTGTTGTTAACAATAGGGTATTAGTCTCAGGGGTGTGGACATCTTTGAAATAACTACTTGCCCAGGGACTAAATCATCCCTCATGACAATCTACTTGTCCAGATGAAAAATTTTTTTTTTTTTAACGAAAACCGTATTTAAATCAGAGGTGATTTTAGGAAAACAAAAGGGGTTTTATGGCAACTTGAATGTGTAACATTTTTAACATTGCACTGTTTATCTCCTCCTCCCTCACCCCCCCCCCCCCCCCCCAGGCCTGTCTCCAGCACCAAATCTGGGGACTAGCAGGGAGGAGAAAGACCTTGCAGTGTAATGAGCACCGATTGGCTACTCCTCAGGAAGGGGGAGTGTCAGGCTTTTCCTTTATCCCTTTTGCTGCCAGAGCCGCTTTTGCGTATATTAGAAAAATCATTTTAGGCCTGAAGATTACATAAACCCCCAAACATTATATACTTTCTGAAATCAGAGACCCTGGAAAATAAAAGTGGTAGTTCCAATTTTTTGTTGCATGATATTACTGCAAAATTTCAGTAAAAATACAAGTAAGCTAATTTTAGGGCACAAAAAAAAGCAATTAATTGCCCTATTTTTTAAAAAAATATATAAAAGATGAGGTTGCGTCAAGTAAATAGATATCCAACATCTCAAACCTTGAATTTGCGTGCACTTGTGAAATGGCTACAAATTTCAGTACCCTATATATTTTCTATAGGTGATGCTTTTACAGCCCCTTATAGGTCATCAGTTTAGTGTTACGGATAGAATGATCACTGTCATCCTGGCATGCCCGGCGATATGTGACATGTGTATCGCAATTGATGTTTACATGTGTAGGCGCCCCAGCTTGAGCTTTTATGTTTGTACATGTGTATATGTCGGAGGGGGCCTCATTTTTTTTTTTAGGGGGGGGGATGTTTTGTGCTTAGGTGTAACTTTAATTTTTTACAATTTAAAAAAAATTACATTATTTTTTACACTTAATTTTTTTTCATCACATTATTATTATTATACAGTATTTATAAAGCGCCAATAGTTCGCTCAGCGCTGTACATTACAAAGTCCCCTATGTGATATTAGGTGACAGGTTCTCTTTATTGAGACGTCCAAGGTCTAAAAGACCCTGCATGTCTCCCCTATACTACACTGAATATAAAGCAGTGCACATCGCACCACATTACATTTAGTGAATCTCTCAACTGGGACCCGGAAGTGACTTCATTCTAGATGAAGCACTGTATTGGTGTCACTGGGGATGTCAGTGACACCAAGTCGGTCAGTTCCCCCCCCCCCCCCCCCCCCCCCCAGTGTCAGAATGCTCGCCGCAGTCCCGCTATAATTTGCTGATTGCTGCCATTACTAGTAAAAATAAAAAATCCCAGTATATATATACCGCCATTTGTAAATGCTATAACTTTCATGTAAACCAATTAATTTACACGTATTGGGATTTTTTTTTGGCAAAGACACATGGCAGAATACATTTTGGCCTAAATTTATGACTAAATTTTGATTTTTTTTTTTTTTTTTTTTTAGATTTTTTTCACTGGTTGTGTTTAATTGCAAAAAGTAAAAATGTCAGTCTTTTTTTGTTTTTTGTTTTTTTTGTTTTTTTTATAGAGCAAAAAAGTAAAACCTCACAGGCAATCAAATACCACCGAAAGAATGCTCAATTCGTTGGGAAAAAAAGGATGTGAATGTAATTTAGATGCAGTGTTACATGACCGCACAATTGTCAGTTAAAATAACTCAGCACTGTAACGCAAAATATGGCCTGGTCAGGAAGGGGGGTAAATCCTCACCAGGGCAAGTGGTTAATGAGCCCTTACTGTAGTAATTACAATCATTTCTGTGTAGATGGGGATGACGTTACAAAAAGGGAATCTGTAGCTATTTCACATGATGACACTTTGCCTTTTAGTAGCCATTTTTAGGGTAACCTATTATTAAATTCACACTTTAATAATTTGTACAAATGGCAGCATTACAAAATCACGTTATTTAAAGTGTCTCTCTTGTGAACAAAAAAAAAAACCGGTTTCATGCACTCCTAAAGCCTGGGCAAAGGTCTCATTTTCAGGAGCATTGTGGATGTTTAATTAGAGACTACACAATCCATTGTTTTCAAACAAATCCCATCAGACTCAGTGAATTAATGTAATCTGCAAGTGAGAGAGCAGTTTGTATGCATAATGAAGAAATGTGACCAGCCCCCGTTTTATCTCTAGTATCAAAGTGTACATAAGAACAAGTTTTTTCAAATCTATATTATGAGATTATCTGCATAATTTAGATTAATTTCACATTTATGTTTGAAAAGATAAAGCAAGCAAAATGAATAAAATTCTCATTTAGCTCCAGACAATTTGTTGTAGACCTCATGTATGCAGGGCTTAAAAATTACCACTTTTAATAGTGTTTTGTCTTTTCCTTTTTTCAGCCTGTGAAAGCACCTCTATTTTAGCCTATGTACACATAGATGTTTACATGCTTATTACAAGAGAAGTGCTTTACAGGCGGCTGGGGAAAAAAAACTCTCAAAAACACATTCAGGAGAAGAGCTGAAGAGCAAACAAACACAAAATGCACCTAAAGGCTCGTTTAGGCACACTTGAGCGGTAATGCATTCCAGTGGCCAAAATGAATTGGTCCTCATGCACACTGGACGTTTTTACAGCTGCTGTTTTTGGCTTTTGATTTTTTATTTTTTTTTTGTACAACCAGTAAACTCCCCAGCATGTTATCCTATGTGTTCCTGCACACATAGCCTAATCGTTTTTTTTGGCTGGAAAAAAAAAAAAAAAAGAACTAGTGGGTTTCTAGAGGAGTTTTTCTTAGCTGTAAAAACGCAGTAAATTGTGGCAAACCAGCCTTATTGAAAGTTTTTTTTTTTTTTTTTAGTTAAAAAAAAACCCGCTAAAAATGTTTTTAACATGACTTTATACATCTAGCGTTACCAGCGTTATTAAAACGCCCCGTGTGCATGTAGCCTTATTAGTTTTCTTCCAGTTTTTCCAGGATTTTCACCCTTGTTGCGCATTAAGGCTCCATGCACGCTAGTATTTTTCTATAAGCTTAAAAACCACTAGAGAAAAACGGCTAAAAAATACTAACAACAGCGTTTTTGTGCCAGCTTGTAGTAGCGATTTAGTAACGTTTAGGAGGGTTAGCTTTTATTAGCTGAAAAAAAAGCTGTTACGAGTGTTAAGCATTTTTTTCTGCTGGAAAACACTCCAAATAAACTCTACAAAAACTTTTTCTGCTCTTAGGAGCTGGGGGGGGTGGGGGTGGGGGACAAAGTAGACAGCGGTGACTACTCTCTGCTCACAGCAGTGGTGAGATATCAGCGGTCATGTGATCCACCTAGGTGAGTATAATTTAAGGGAAAAAAAAACAAAACTCGCACTTCTCTTTTAAAGCTGCCCCTCTGATTACACAGCGCATGCAGTGGATTGCCCCGAAGCCACCTGAGATACATGGTTTAAGTATCTTGGGAGTCGGCAGGCAGCGGGGAACATGTCATTTTCAGGAATCATTGAAAAGATATTTATGGAAAAATAAGTCGTGATTGTGTGAAAGGAGGTGAGAATAAGTAATTTAATGGAAGATGGATGGAAAGGGTGAAGGTCCACTTCACTGTTCTGCTATAGCAAAAAAATCTTGGGTTCAGCTTTCAAAAAACCTATATAATCCCACTGTTTGGGCCACATACAAAGCTGATGACTTATTTGCCTTTGCTCATATGGCACATTTGTAGGAATGGTACGTTTTTTGTGTTTAAGTGTTGTAACATACAAAGTTTATTTTTTTTAATTTCTTTTCTTACCTTGGTATGTGATGGGCCTCTTGACAAATGGTATTCATTTGCAAATACGGCCTCTTGATTACCAGAGACTTGCCAAATGGCCCTTGTTGTCCTTGTTATGTTTGCTCCTTGCCAGTTCACACAGGCTGAAGAGTCCATTAGCTTCCACACAAAAGGTTATTCTGAACCATTTGTTTGTTTTTACATAACAGAAGACTGGAAACATAGTCTTGCATGGGCAGGTTGTTACATTTCCGTTTGGATTGGTTTAATGTCAGTTTTGTTTCTGTGTTGTATTTTCAGTGAGTCAGATGGGAACCACAGCACTGAAGATGAATCAAGCAAAGGTCACGATGATCTCTCCCCAAATCCCCTCTCCAACAGTTCGGATGGGATTTCCAACTTAAACCTTCCCACTCAAGCTGACACTGTGTACATGCAACAAATTGGTAATAAAATCTCACTGAGCTCCCCTGGAGTGCTGTTGAATGGAAGCTTGGTGCCCTCCAATCCTTCATCTGTCTTCCTAAATGGGGGTTCATTTATTCAAGGACCCAATGGAGTGCTCCTTAATGGTATCAACGTGGCAAACTCACAAACTGTGGCTCTCAACCCAGCAAAACTGGGCCCCACCATTGTAAGCAACGGTGTCCCGAACTCTGATCTTTTGGTGTCTTCCTCTGAGGATGTCAAAGTTATACAAACTGGTCTCTCAGATTCCTCAACATACACTACAAACCTCCAGTCCTCTTTCCCGGGGTTAATACCTCCATCTGAAATTAAGACTGAGGCTATCCAGCCTGTCACCTCTCATGATGGCGGAACAGTTGTTACATTCACTACTCCCATACAGATAAATCCCTATGGCATTGTGCAAATACCCAATTCAGGAACAAATGCTCAGTTAATAAATGGAAGTATTGGATTCTCTACACTCCAGCTACCCTCTGTCGCTGTCTCTCAAGGTAAGTACATTATGTCAGAACACAATGTTCTTTTATGAACTGCACAATGTGCAATAAAATTTGTGTGTTCCCCTTTTTACCCAGCAGTACCCTATTGTCAGACTAGGTGAAGCACAGCAGCTAATGTGATGTGGGTAAGAGGGGCTATTATTCCGTTATTAGAATTGGTGCATAAGCACCTGTAAGCATTCAAGAGTGCATTTTTTAATAGCTTCTTTAAAGATCTATTTAAAGTGACATTAAACCCATTCTTCAAATTCTTGCCTAAAGGAGAAGCATGGGCAAAGCACACTTAGTATTGCAATCCTGTAACCCAGATTCATCCGACAGCAGACTAAAGCCCGCTGTCGACGGACTTTGCAAAGCTGGTCGAGGCTGTATAAACATTCCAATTACCTGGTGATCCTGGCAGTTCCTTATACAAGTGGCAATGTTCTTGTCGGTGATAATTCACTACCCTGCGTTGCCACTCAGTCTGCGCATGCTCCAGAATTCCTTGTTTCCACATTAACAAGCTGCCCCACGTGACACTCTGACATCATGTGGGGGAGGCTCCAGAATCATGATTGACAGCAGAGCATTGAGTCATTTGCTCCATTGCGTATCCTTGCTGAATATATGGGTGGGGAGATCACTTCACCCATTAAAAACTGTTCCAAATGTAAACATGATGTGAAGCAAACTCAGGAAAGTGATATTTGATTTCTTGTGTTTTGTTTCAGATTATGTTTACATTTGCAGCCGTTTTAGTGGATCATGTGATCTCCAGAGCTCCGCCCACATTTTCACATACAATGAGTCAATGCTCCACTGTCACTCACAGTCCTAGGGCCTCCCCACATGATGTCACATGATGTCAGTGTCATGTGGCCCGGCTGAAACACTACAAAGTATTGTTGTTTTTTTTAATACCATAATTATACAGGATAATGTCCTGATCTATTCATGAAAGTGAACATTGCTTTTAGGTGTTTTAATTTACATAATGCTCTTTGCACTTAGATTAGTTTTTTTGTTTTTTTCCCCAATCACATGACTGCTAGATCCTCTGCCCACCTATAGCGCATAGACTTACTGAAGGGCTAGTAAAGAATCACATATGACCAGCTATAAATCTATCTGAAAAAGGTATTTACAAATCATATAGTTTATAAAGACATTAACCTTGGTTTTATATCATATACTGCATATTGTTAAAAGCATCTGCATGTGGTTTAAATTGCTTTTTAAGTTTTTGGAGTTTTCTTATTTATTTAATTTGTGTTTAATTTTTAACTATATTTTTCACTGGCTTCATACACAATAAACATTTAATACATGTCAAAGGATTCTTGCAGCACTATGAGTAAGCTAAACTCCCCACAGCACAGCAGACTAGCTCAGTTTGTCCTATTGAAACCTCTGACTTGGCACTGGATAAGGAGTGAATCACTGCAGTGAAAAACTTGAGTTGTGTAAACCAGCTTCTTTCAACACAGTTGAAAAGTCATTGTGTTAATGATGTGAAAAAGAAAGTAGAGCTCCACCTGCTGGCTGGAAAAAAGGACTACATAAATATACAATATTTCAAATTTACAAAACAAATAAAGGAAATTTTCTTTTAGGTTCTTACTATAATAAAGAAAAAAAAAACCGTACAGAATTAATTTGCATTCTTTTTGAAGCAGACATTTACACAACATGTGCTTTCTTTAGATGCCTTTATGAAGCTACAAGTCTGTTTCTCTTAAAAACTTGCAGTTTTTTTTATGTTGCTGTAATAATAATCCGTGCTTCTATTTATATTGGAAAATAGCTTGCAACTTTTGGGGTGAAATATGCAATGACCCCGCTAGTAGCAGAACACCGTCCTGTCATAGTTCCCACTTGTGTCACCAGTCATGTGATGGGTCAGGAGAGCTCTTCAGATGTGATGCATATCATGGGGTATACAGGAGGAGATCAATCATGGTGGTTGTGGTGTTTTTCTGGACTCGCTACACCACTGTGGTGGAAGTGTGTGTGTGTGTATAATATTATATATGTATAATATCAAATGTCCTATTGCAGTATTCATTTTTTTAAAGCTTTGCCCACCTTTATTGTTGTAGAACTTTAATTAGTAGGCTTAAAGTATTATTATTATTATTATACAGGATATATATATAGCAGTTTGCTTAGCGCTTTACAATATAACGGGAGAAAATACAGCAACAATACAGTTCAATACAAGAGGGTTAGGAGGGCCCTGCTCCTTGGAGCTTACAATCTAAGACTCCACTGATTGCAGACTGGTCATTTGTTACCATATCCCTAGCAGTTAGCTGTCCTCCCTGAGTTAGAATAGTTACTTGTCATAAGCACTGCAGCGTCACTTCCGTCTGATTCCCACACAGGGTTAATGAACTGTATGTCTCGGACATCAGGGATTGCTTTGTGCCTGTTCGGAGCCCCAACTGGGTGCCCTTTTTTTTTTGGTGGCTGTACTCATTCCATGCCTTAGGTAAATTTTGGAAGGTATGCAAAACATTCGTTCCATGGAAGAGATTTCTAATCCTACTAATGAACTGTACTCGTTCAATGCCACGTGTGGTCATTAAGAACAGTAGTGAAGCTTTGCATTTGCCTCTTCTTTTTTTATTTTGCAGCTGTTCAGCTTAGAGCTAAATATATCACAGCTATACACGAGACAGAATTGAATGGGTTTAGTTTAGCATTTGCTTTAAAGCTGAAATACATGGAGATGTAAAAACTACCTTTGCAGTAGGACTCCCCTCCCCCTGCACTGCAAGGACTAAATGCTTGTATTTGTCTTGGAGGAGCACACAGGGGTACATAAGTGTAAGACAAAAGAGAGAAAGTGAGTGAAAATATTGGGGGCTGTGTCATGTGTAGATTATAAGAATTTTTTTTTTTTTTTTTTTTTTTAGCACTAGCAATACACACCTTACTGTCAATAAGGGGGACATGTTTTAGCCATCTTCAGAGCTGGCCATAGATGGGTAGAATGTCTAGCAAAAACTCCTAGGAAAAGAATGTTCTAAGAAAGTGCTGGTTTTTTTTTTTCTAATCATTAATGGGTCAAATTTACTTTCTTTTTGACCTTAGTGACAAGAAAGTTCAAAGGAAGGTGCAGGATGGAAAATTTTTCTCAAAAACAAATTTCTGAACAGTGTATGTGATTTTTTTTTTTTGTTTTGTTTTGTAAAATCACAAAAGCAAGCAATCACTTGAAAAATCTGAATGTACTGGTAATTTGTGTACACATTTTTCTAAAATCTCTTGTTTGACATTCTGTGCGTCTATGGCCAGCTTAAGGCTGGTCATTTGCTGGACAGTTTTGCCATAGACATGCAGTCATAATTATTACTCATAATTTGGAAATGTATGGAACATCTTTTGGGGAATACGAAATTGTTACAAGTTAGAAGGCATTGCTCAGAGAGTAGCTGTTTGCAGATACAGATCCGTGTTTTTCTTCCATTCAGTAGCTGGTCTTTTATGACAAGTAACAGAATCATACTGTTCAGTTTTTGTTTTGTTTTTTTTTAAGCTGCACGTTTCCTTCATTGAGGACCAAGCACACTTTTCCACTGCAGTCCAGTACGCATGATACATGCCTTACTGGATTAAGGTGCCATTTGGTTTGAATAGCACCCCAAGGCAAGTTAAAATGGAATTGAACCTCCCCAAAAAAAATATAAAAATGGACCTGGGAAGCTTTGAGCCATGATGTACTAGTATGCACAATACAGTCAGGTCCATAAATATTGGGACATCGAGACAATTCTAACATTTGTGGCTCTGTACACCACCACAATGGATTTGAAATGAAACGAACAAGATGTACTTTAACTGCAGACTGTCAGCTTTAATTTGAGGGTATTTACATCCAAATCAGGTGAACGGTGTAGGAATTACAACAGTTTGCTTATGTGCCTCCCACTTGTTAAGGGACCAAAAGTAATGGGACAATTGGCTTCTCAGCTGTTCCATGACCAGGTGTGTTATTCCCTCATTATCCCAATTACAATGAGCAGATAAAAGGTCCAGAGTTCATTTCAAGTGTGCTATTTGCATTTGGAATCTGTTGCTGTCAACTCTCAAGATGAGATCCAAAGAGCTGTCACTATCTGGACAGATGAGACCAAGATCAACTTGTACCAGAGTGATGGGAAGAGAAGAGTATGGAGAAGGAAAGGAACTGCTCATGATCCTAAGCATACCACCTAATCAGTGAAGCATGGTGGTGGTAGTGTCATGGCGTGGGCATGTATGGCTGCCAATGGAACTGCTTCTCTTGTATTTATTGATGATTTGACTGCTGACAAAAGCAGCAGGATGAATTCTGAAGTGTTTCGGGAATATTATCTGCTCATATTCAGCCAAATGCTTCACAACTCATTGGACGCCGCTTCACAGTGCAGATGGACAATGACCCAAAGCATACTGCAAAAGCAACCAAAGGGATTTTTTAGAGGAAAGAAGTGGAATGTTATGCAATGGCCAAGTCAATCACCTGACCTGAATCCGATTGAGCATGCATTTCACTTGCTGAAGACAAAACTGAAGGGAAAATGCCCCAAGAACAAGCAGGAACTGAAGACAGTTGCAGTAGAGGCCTGGCAGAGCATCACCAGGGATGAAACCCAGCATCTGGTGATGTCTATGCGTTCCAGACTTCAGGCTGTAATTGACTGCAAAGGATTTGCAACCAAGTATTAAAAAGTGAAAGTTTGATTTATGATTATTCTGTCCCGTTACTTTTGGTCCCTTAACAAGTGGGAGGCACATATGCAAACTGTTGTAATTCCTACACCGTTCACCTGATTTGGATGTAAATACCCTCAATTTAAAGCTGACAGTCTGCAGTTAAAGCACATCTTGTTCGTTTCATTTCAAATCCATTGTGGTGGTGTATAGAGCCAAAAATGTTAGAATTGTGTCAATGTCCCAATATGTATAGACCTGACTGTATATTAGATTATAGCAGACTTGCCTTGGAAGCAGTGTCATCTTTT